ACCTAAAAGTACCCGGACCGATTCTAACACAGGTTAATGTGTGTAGCTATTGTATTTTAACAGATCATTTCGTTTCCATAGAGAACATGGGTCATATGACACTTCATGCTACTCCTACAGCTGTTCCTCGAAGGCTGCTCTGCTTTGTTTTCCAGCTTTCCTCAGTGACACGTTAAAACATAATGGGTGACATTGCAACCTGGAGTTCACTGTGTGGTGCATTTCTCCAATCTGCAGGTATTCTACTGCTATCGTTTTAAAAGTAGGACAGGTTGTTTTTGTATTTGTGCTGTCAGTAAATTTCCATGTGTATTTGTTATTCTACACACTGAGTATCTCTTTTTGGAAGAAAAATATACATGACGTTCACAAACATTTGAAGATGTACTGAATCTGTCATCATCCCCGTTATTAGAATGAATATGATCATGATATAATATATGATCATAAATGATCATAAATGATCATATATTATATTATTGTTAAAGGTGTTGTGCTGATCTGCAACCAAGAATAAAGCACACACAATACTCAATCTAAAATAGCATCTTATCTTATTCTATGAAAATCTTGTATCATCTTGTATAAGTGGATTATTTTGGACCTGATTAAGAACAGCGGGTTCTTCAAGATGCAGCTGTGACTCAAAGTGGGACTCCAGGTAAAGGTACCATAACATTTAGACAGACGAAGGGATCTAGTAAATCATATCTGTATAACTCTCAAATTCACTAACCTGACATATAGAAAACATATAAGTAACTCAATTTACACTTAATGGTTTACATGCATGCAGAAGTAGCCAAACTTGTGAGGAAAACTTGTCTTTCTGACATTGAAAAGAAGCCAAGCAACCATTTTATTTGGAAAAGCTGCAACACCAAACCCCCCGAAGATTCTTGTTTGTATTTTCCCCCTCTCGCTCACTCTGGCACACTTTCTTAAGCTTTCTTGCCATCCTCTTCACCTTCCCTCTTTCTCCTGTGGGTTCTATTTTAATGAACACATTCTTGGCAGCACACACTCACATTGAAATAAAACATGCTCTCTGCAGCCTTAAGATAAACATAAAAACTGGTTAAAATATAACAACAAGCAGGACTTTGAGGTTTTAGGAGGCCATGCAGTTTTTCTTTCAACTGTTAGTTGAGTGGATAACACAGACCCAAATAAAAAGCTTAATCACATTAGCATGTTCACACCCATGTGTGCAAACATGATCAGCTGCAGACTCGTACATGGCTCTCTCTCTGGGAACAGAGCCACCATGAGAGAGCATCTGCCCCTAAGCATGACTCATTTGACTCTGAGGTGGAGATGACTTGTGACGTAATAAGGGAGCAATCGTCACCTTAAAAAATATGGCAGCCAGAAACACTGGGTCTTAGTTTAAAATAATAAGAGGAGAAATGTAAGGTGTACATTTTTTATAGCAGGCTGTTTTTTCTGAGAGGAAATACAAACTGTCTCAAGCGATTAAAATGTATTACAGTGTATGCAGAAGTACATCAGTTTATAACGTACTGCATAGTGGGAATGAATAATGGATTACTGGATAAATAAATATGTATTTTTAGGAAAAATTCAATTCAATTTCTAGTGGACCTGCTGGGTTTTACCCTTCATGCCCAGTGCTTCCCTTCTTTTTTAAAATGGCTCCCGTTATGAATGCAACACTCTGAGCCCTGATGTCCTTGGGTGAGAGAAAGAGAGATGTCTGCTGTCAGAGCAAAGTGTGATTGTGGTTGTATGAAATAAATTACTCAGTGATGTATGTGAGAACGTGAAAGTGAGGCTGTGTGAGTGTGAGTGTGTATGTGTGTGTGAATCTCATAAAATTCCAGTAACTTCATGGCATTTTGACTTTTATGAGCCGTTTCTCTGGGCAGAGTGCATAAAGTCTATAGTGAAGAAATGCTGCAAGCCTCCATGCATAAGAATTAGGATTTTCTATCCCTCACAAAGCAGATGCTGAACATTTAACTTCAAACAAACCTGCACAGCTAATTAGCAATTAGTGAAGCACAGGGCCATAAGGTCAATGCGGATGTGCAATCTGTTACAATCTACACATAAAACCAGTTTGACGACATTGTGGCTCAATTTATTTATTTAAATGTTTTATCTTGGGATTTTATGTCAACATAGATATTAGACCTAATACCTTGAAATAATTTAAAATGTGTCAACTTTGAGAGATGTTGCTGTTTATAGCAAGGTAGCTTTTCTTTTTCTTTAATATCCTTTGTTATATCATTGAGGTTTATGTTGCAAGTCAATGAGCATGACTAATTTAAGACAATATTGCTTATTTAATACTAAAACTAAAGAGTAAAAACATATTTTGTTCCCATTTTACAGATGATTGTGTGTAGGACTATTTGCAACCAGCAGAGACTCCAGGAAGTTACTGGTCCCAGCCAAGAAATAGTCCAGCACAACACCCGTCCCATGCTAATTATGTTAGCTTTGGATAGAGCCAAGCTATCTGTTTCCCCTTGTCTCCAGTCTGTATGCTAAACTAAGCTAACTGGCTGCTGGCTGTATGAGAGTATCGATCCTCTCCATCTAACTCTAGGCAGGAAAGCAAATAATCATATTTCCCAAAAATCTGAGCGATTCCTTTAATGCTGATATTCATTTGGCCAAACTCCAATCTGATTCTTTTAAATCCCTGGTCCCATCCCTTAATCCCTGTGACCTCCTCTTTGTGTACTGGAGTGGGGGTACTGCTAAGATCTGGTTTGAAGGATGCATATGTAAGTATCCAGATTGCTGTGAGTCTGGGCCTGGATTACAGGGCTGTGGCACGGGAGCAGAGGGGTTGAAGAGAGCCTTCTGCCACTGGGAATCTGGGAAAGAAGACAGTGTGTGTGTGTCTTTGGGGGGTTTATAACAGTGAGGAACAGACGGCAATAGACCACAGACACAGCTAACTCTGTGCCTAGAGCTGACTGAATCACATTGGGAATAAAACTGAGGAATAAAGACTGGGGTATGTAAAAATCTACAAATTCAGACGTATTAACTGCATATTTATTCATTCAACCACACCTCTTTATGCATGCACACTGAGAGCCACATAACTGTATGCATATTTACAGATATAAACGCTCTTATGCAGCCTCACCTCACACACACAGATATATTTGAGGCTGTTGAGAAACATCTGCCTGAAGAGAGAGAGAGAGGGCTCTGCTAATGGGTAACAATAGACTCATCACACAGAATTAACACAATCTGTGCAGCCATCTAATTCCCTGTGACTGCTGTCTACTCCCAGTCTGATCAAATGAACTCCTGATTAAAAATGAGAGTTATGTGTGTTAAAAGCAGATTTTTCATTTTATTTTTATTTTTTATCTAAAACTCTTCTAGCTTTTATTTAATTTTTAATCTGCAAGTGCTGCTCCTCAAGAATATGCAACGAGAATTCAACGACTAATATTCCTGTGTCTGGATTTAATCATCTATACAAGTCTCTCAAGTGTCAGTGTGACGTTAACAATAACATAAATGACTAATGGCAGCATAAATGAACTAAAAATAGATCACTAACTCCCATTGTGTGTCACCATATTGAATCCCAGCTGTTAAATTAACTCCTGTCCTCACAAACTGCTACCTTAGCCTCAGTTATTCAGATCCAACATGCAATTAAGCGAGTTTAATATCCACAGATGCTGACCTTCAAGCAATACACTATTATCAGTGTCACAATTAAGCCATTACTCCCCTCCCATCTCAGTGACAATTGCTCATAAAGAGGAGAAATGATGCAGACTGGGAGCTGTAACTAAGGCCATTTGGACACTGGGTGAACTGGAGAACAAGGAGCGAGAGTGGAGCATGTTTTTGTGTGACTCTGCTGCTTGGGGCCTGAAGCTGACTGTCAGTGTCACTGTGACTCACCCCGAGAAAACGGACAACCTCCCTCAGACATGCTGGAGCTCCCAGCTAACACCGGAAATAAGTCACTAAATAGCCCTGGAGTTAGTGGGAGGCCGCAGGGTGGACAGATCTGTTTAAACCTTTAGACCATCCAAATCCCACTGAAGACCACTCTGATGGCCTCCAAATATGATGCTGGTTAAACTCTTCAGCCTGAGCTCCTGGGAGTAAAAACAAGATACAAAAATGGGTGTGATGGGCTGAGGAAGCCTCTGAGTAACCTTGAACTGAATACCTTCTCATGCATTAGGGCCTACATCTCATACCAGCAGATGATTTACCATTCGACAGGATAGACATCATTGAACTCATCACTGCTATCTCGCAATAGGCGATAAATGCGTTTAGAGGGCGCTGAGGTCATGGCGTGCCGCTGCTGGTAGGAGCGGATTTCCGCCAAGGCACACTTAACGATTGCATAACATCTTGCGCGTCGGAATTCCCACTGTGGTTGGCTGAAGGAAGCACTGATTTAAAACCGTCCTTCAATTGAGGCAACAACTTGCGCATTAGAAGTGTGACCGACTGCCGTGAGCTGCAGCCCTGGTGGGGTTTTTTTCTGTGCGGAATGTCATCTGAAGGGTATTGAGAGGAACTGGCGTCCCGCGGCATCACTACCACCGAGCCACCTGCCTCCCAGACGGCCCCACACACACACACACATATACACACAAACATAACGTTAATACCAATCGTGCAGTCCTTCCCGTCATGCAGCAAATACGCATAGTCAATCACAACAAAGGCTGCGGTGTAAAAAAACAACAACCCACGAGCAATAAATTATTCTATTGGTGCAGTGCACCACGCCAGTCTTTTCAGTGGAGCACATTTCAGCACCAGGAGAGCAATGAGTGATGAAGAGGTAAGATGAAGCACAACTACAGCAGATCGCTACATATGAGTGCACCACTGGGGGAGTTCATTTCAAAACCCAATGCGAGAGTAAAGCCAATCCTCTGATACCCAAAGCGCCACTCCACTGCTGTCCAACAACGTGACACCTCGGATCGTGAAGATCTGGTGCTCAGGACGCAGCGTCCTCTTACCTGAGTGGCTTTGTGGAATTGCTTCTTCAGCCCCGCTACAGACATGGTTGCTACACGGTGGTTCTAAGCTGGGAATATGAACTGGTGCTGCAGGTGTGTGTGAGGAGGAAAATCTCGGTCCTAAATGTATCTGGTAATGAACTCGCAGCCGTTGCTAAGTCCTGTCTACGCTGGTCTTCACCAGAGGGATCTCCTGTGAGAAAGGGGGTGAATAAAGCCCTGATCAGGCTATTGGACGCCAAAGCCACATGTCTCACACGGCGATGACGTCGGAGCCAGCTCCTTTTAAAGAGGCCGCCTCCTCATCCTCAACCCCGGCTGGGCTCCTGGACTCTAAAAAGGTGGCTGAGGTATTTCTAATCTAAGCTGGTTTAGAAGGATGTGGATGGACTAGGGAGGGGGGGAGGGGGGGAGGCGACACAGACTTTTAGTTTTCCACTGAATTCAGATTTAATTTGAAATTAGGAGAAAATAAAGACATTCCCTAACCGCTCCCATCACCTAGGGGTGGAAAAACACAAGTATGTACGGTTAGTTTTGGTGCTTTCCCCCTCTAAAAAGTAATTTATTACTCATTACTCTTTTCAAAAGTAGTTTCCATATTATCCCATGCCACCAGTAATTAGTTACACTACGAGTTATATTACTTTTCTGATACTCAGTGTCGCTTTGACCCAAAATTCAGACTTACGACGATTAAAATCCAGTTTTCTTTGTGACCATTGTTTCCATCTTCCAAGTTAGTTTCTTCCAAACCTTGAGCTGTATGAAGATAGACAAATGTTCCCTGATAATTCCTTGATTACAAAACTGAATCCAAGGATGTGATTGGATTGTTGGATATCAAATCAGTAGAGGTGACAACAAAAGTAATGTTGTAACTAATTATTTTGGTGAGTAACTGTAATAGCATCACTGAAATGCATTACTAATTAGTTACCCCACTTGTTGCTAGGGAAATTAATTGTATTACTGTAATGTTATTACCAGTAATGAGTTACTGCCCAGCACTGCTAATGAGACGCAATGAGTGGCGACAGCGCTTACTCTCCAGCACCCTGGACAGCGCCCATCATCTCACATAGAGAAATCCCATCAGACTCATCCGTCCTGTCGGTGTCACTGACTAATAGAGTGAGGTGAACAAAAAGCTACTACTACTAAAAGCTACTTAAAGAAAAAAAAGAGCAAAAAAAAATGCTTCTGGAGCTTTTATCACACGATCTTCCTCGTCAGATGGAGTTTGTGATGGAAATGTAGATACTACCATTGTAACTTTTCTTGAGCACTTTAGTATGGACGTTGTGGTGACACATTTTTATGTTTTGTGGTTTTTGTGGTTTGTGGTGCACAAACTTTACTTGAGTATTTCCAGTATTTCATCCTACTTCCTACTCCACTACATCTCACAGGACAATACTGTAGTTTTTACTCCACTACATTTGTTTGACAGCTTTAGTTACTAGTTACATTTCAGATTACACATTTTCATACCTATCTCTACAGTGAAAACCAAGCATCTCCAGATTTGGTGATTTTGAACTTGGATTTTTCTCATAAACGGAAGGATTCAGTGTTTCTTTTAATAACAATATAACAATAATAATAATAACCCCTCCCACCAAAGACGTTGCAAACATATGATGATCTTATATAATGTGATAAATTGCTGTAGATTAAACCTTCACCAGCTACAGCAGCAAAACGCACTGACAGGGACCATTTTACTGCAGAATATGTACTTCTAACACTTTTTTGACATACTGACATACTCATGTATGTACAGTATGTACAGATTTTTCAGGTTTTGAATGCATGGCATGACTTTTACTTGTAGTGGAGTATTTTCACAGTGTGGTATTGAGACGTATACTTAAATAAAATATCTGAATATTCTTCCACCAATGCCGGTCTGTAAACTCAGACAGCGTCTCCTGGTGCGTAATGGCACACAATGCTGCTTTGGCACTATATTGGATAAATATATATTGGAGAACAAAAACCTGAATTATTTCAAACAAAAAGAAACATGAGTGCGTCGACATTTATTTAGAGACAGTAGTGGGCTTTAAAGCGGACATGACCTGCACCAGGACAATGCGTAATTTCTACTGTAATTTGTACACATATCAGACCCCTCTTCATCTTCCCTCATATTATTTGGCTGATACGATTAAAAGCCTGCCCCAATCTGCAGGTCTAATGCGAAGAATGGCTCTGAATTAAAGCTAAGAAGTCACCTACACACTTGTCAGCTCAGCAGCAGCCCCTCGACGCCAGATGGTGGGGTCGATTGTGGTAGGACTACTTGGGCAGACAGTCAGAGACTCATCCCATATGGTCTCTGTTGCAGCCCCAGAGTGACAATCACCAAATAGGCAAATGCTAAATATGACCATATCTGCTGTTATGAAATGTCCTAATAAAACTGATTATGGATGTATAACATGCTTCCATGTTGGAAATGAAACAGTGTATGACACCTGGTAATAGAGTTGTAAATAATTTAAATACAGCTAATTTCTTTTGATCCTGAGAAGTAATTGCTAAGTGATGAAATGCAAACACAGTGTGTGCGCATTATAATAAACTAGTGTTATGTAGTGCGCATTTGTGGGCGGTGTTATTTGTCACCATCAGACCACAGACTGTGTGTCAGAAATGCAAAATGGCATTTTGAAATGGCTCACCAAAATAAACCCTGAATGTAAAGGTATCCCTGAAGAGATGGTGTGCTGTTTGACCACCTGACAATATACATCTACACCTGCTAACGTCTCTGTACGTTCACTTTCATAATGTAAATAACCATCAATGTCCCTGCTGCTGCATGTCAGACGCAGATTGGACTGTGTGAGCCAAAAACAACAATTTAAGATGTGTCATGTGTATTTACAGTTAAATACACATGACACATCTACTTTGTAAATATATTTATCCATTTAATAATTATGCAGACGCTATCACTGTCATTACTACGGTTTGATCTTATATTGTTTTTGTTCTATTTTATTAGTTGTGGTCTACTTCCAGACTCCACCACAGCATATTATTGGTGAAGAATGAGGAGACACATTTATTATGTTAGTGGCGCCATCATGTGGAGAATATGTGAACATACATTCAAACTGACTTCAATTATCTACCATGTATATATCTCAAGCTATGTAATAGACATACCAAGATACCAAACAAAAACAGTGCTTTCAATTAAAAATGTGAAATGGTAATCCTAAACTATGAATGCCATTCATGATTTTTCTACAAAAATACACTTCAGAGATCAAAAGTTAAAACATAATCATTGAGGATGTCAAAATTCAAAATCTATATAATATTTAATGTAAGCAGCTATAAAACCCCAGTTTCTGCATGTTATACACATCTTTACTATGCCTGTTATGCCTGTCTACTGTCCAATAAGTCACAATCTATAATGCCTTGCTTCCACCTAGTGGTAAGAAAGGATGCAGCAAAGATGATGCATATTTGTGTAACAGAGTGAAAACTGCCATGCAGCACACATGATTACAGTATTTTGCATTACTCAGATCAGACCAGCTCCTCTGTGAAAGCAGCATACGTATGAGGGTGAGGGTATATCAGATATGTTGTAGGAACATCTTGAACACCAAATGTTTATTTTGTCTGAGTAGCTCTTATTGGCTAACAGAGAAAGTCCGAGTGATACATCAAACGGGCTGACAGTGACCTGAGTGCAGTTCTTTGCTCAGTTTTCCTGCTCGCTGGCCTCGGCGGGCAGCTCTGATAAAGTGCTTGGTCCCACGGCTCAGTGATCTGTATGTGCGTGTGTGGCCCGAGGTGAGTGTCCATTTGTCTTAACTCACGAGACAATAAATCTCACCTGTATCGCACAGACAGATGGAGGCTGAGCTCAAGTGAAATATGAGATTGTTGCCATTAACTTTATTACACTGACCACTGGTCTCATTTTTGGCATCAGCACTGACTGAAAGTTGGAACAGAAGGAGTTTCTGATACATAAATTACATTTGTGTTCTTTTACAGTGCAATGGGGGCATGTTTTTAACATGTATGACAGTGATATTTATAGTTTTGTCCTTCTTGCAGGTTTTACTGTTTATTAGAATCTTTTTCAAAATCTTTTCTGTATGTTTTTTACTGCTGACTAATGTAGTGCTATTGAGATAGACAGATAAATATTCCTCACCTTTAGACGCTAATTAAAGGATATCATGATAATATATGTTATGTGGAAATAGGAACAAGCCCCCAGAGGTACTTGAACTCTGTCTCTTGGGAAAGCAACTCACTCCCAACCTGAGGAGGTCACTGTGTATTATCTGCCAGGGCATCATGGGCTCAAACGTCAAGACATAGCCCGATGAGGCCCACAGAACTAAATTGTTGGCGAAAAGCAGACATACAGTCCTGAAGTCACAAAACTGGTCACTCCTTGACTAAGCTTAAAAGTTTGTTTAAATCAAAAACAGAAATTTAGACTTGATGGACAAACTGCTAGGACCCTCTTGTATCTCAAAGTAAACAGCTGGACTCCTTCGCCTGGCACACTAGGGTTAAATTTGCAATTGACTGAATTGTCCCTTCCAGCACCCTGGTATAATATTTCTGGGGCACGCTGAGCAGTGTGATATCCTGATGATTGGGATAAAAAAAAAAATATAAAAAATGGGGACACTACCCCAATCTGTCAATCAAAAAGCACTGATGGTGACTTCTGCATAACATTAGTAAGGCATGTAAACCAATACAGCCCAGAATCCAGAGGTTTCAGCCCCTCACAGTGAATCTCATACATCCCTGCCAATGCAAACATTTTGACTTCTGTGAACTTTGCCACAGAAATGTGCAAAATTTCATATGACTCTTTCAACTCTATCTCGGCCACGGAGTATGTGTCGGGTGTGTGCAGGTATTCCTGTATGCATTCCTTATCATCCTGTAATATACCTGGTTGAGGTCAGTGGTTCTCCTCCACCGCTGATAACAGCCAGAGCAAGACCCTGCCCTGTTTACCAAAACCTCTTACAGGCCAACCACAAGTCCTGACTTTTAACCCTTACCTATGATTGTGAGCTCTCAGTAGTGACCACAAGAATGAGATCAGAGGTACAAGTGGCATTTTTCATTTTTCTCTTTAGGATAGGGTGAAGTTAGAAGCTCAAACATCCAGAAGGAGCTTGGAC